ATTCATTTAGTACATTAATTCAAGATTTAGAAATTCCATTTAATAATTTCGAAATTATTAATGAAGGATTTTTAAGTAGTACATGCAAATTAGAACATAATACTAAATAAATTTGTGAGTTATTACATCATTTAGTTAATAGTAATAATAAAAAATAAACAACAAAACATTGTGCATAACAAATTGGACTATTATCAAAAGTGCTCCTACAATTATGTCAAGGAAATGATGATACAATTGTTGAACATATTGATAAACATATTGAAATCTCAAAATAACTCAAAGATAAAAAAAATAAGTAGCTTAGAGATCTCCAATTTAGTGCATGTAAAATGATTATGGATATCTTTAAGAAATGGAAACAAAATTATATTCATATTACAACTATTTTATATAGTATCCAGAGAGGTTTACAATAGGATTAAGAAATTCATATTCAATCTTATCTCAATGAACTTACCAAGAGTGACCTAGGCAAGAGTATATAAAAAGAATTGAATAAATTATTTCAATTACTTATTTGAAATGCAAGAATCTAGAGTTTAATTGGCCTTGCGAGAAATCGCTTTCATTAGGCAATCCCTTTCTTCAAAAAAAAAGTACATTCCTATGAAGGATGCTCTAAATAACTTTTAGAGAGTATTGGAAGAAAACAAAAAAAATAATGTGTAAGAAATTCCCAGAGCAGAAATATAAAAGTGTTTAATTCCAGCTCAAGGACAATTAAGATCAGCCAAGTTTCATATTTCCTTTATATCCTTCCTTCTTAAACTAATCAATTTGAAAGTTATTAATGATGTAAATGGCACAGTCCTAATTAATAGATTTAAATGATTGAGGATGTCCTTGATTATTTTTTAAAAATCAAAGACATTTAAAAAGAAGAACTCTATTACAAACTTATCTAAAGTTTTAATACTTTTGTCCATTCTGATTTCATCAATTTTGGCAATTTTAGTTTTGTTGAAAAAGTAGAATTATCATTTCATTTTTAGTGCTTAACCTTGGTATTGTATATGAAAAATTCGAAAATTCCTATCATTCATGGTCCAGCAGCCACTTCCTTATAAAGACTAATTGAGTTACTATCAGAATCAACCTAATTAATAATAGCAGGATAGGGTTTCGATGAAATGAATGTTGTCTTAGATTTGGATAATCAATAAGAATAGAATTAGTAATAAATGATTTAACCAATTGATCATTCAAAGGAATTTTAAAATTTGCATTCAATGTTATCAGATTTAATCAAATTAATTGATAATGTAAAACCACATTGGTATCCTCTTTTAATTCCTTTGGATAGAGAATTTGGATTGATAAGCATCAATAATTTTCTTAGTAGCATGGGGAAATTCTTTCTCTAATACAAAACAATATCAGAATTATTAACCGATAATCTCATTTTAATTCTAAAGAAAATCATTACTACTCCTTTGATTAAAAGTTCTTTGATTATTGAAACTTTTAAATGTTTAAAAATATTAGTGGAGAATGAACAATCAGAAGTTGTTTGGAATATATTGATAAATCAAATAAAATAAAATGAACATTCTATTAATAAAAACTTAGCATTTTAAACATTAATATATTTTGTTTAGAATTAAGTATTTTTAAATAAATTAGTATAATTACTAAGCAATGAAAAAGTATATGAATAATTATAATATAATATAGAATATCATATTAGAGATAATAACAACTTTATCAAATTTGGCTAAGGAAGTTTAAGAGCCAAGTGAAGTTGAATAGAAAAGATTAGTTGAATTAGCTCATCCTACAATTAATTTAGTAGATAATAGTGAAGTATATCCTAGTGATAATGGTTTAGTTTGTAGAATGTTAAGTGAATTTTAATCAAGATTTGTAAATTCATTATGTGTTTATGCAGATTAATAAAAAATATAATTAGGAAATTTAATAAAATTATAATAAAATGACAAATTTAATTAACTTATAGAATTAACTTGGAAACATAATTTAAGGGCAATTAAATATCTTTTATTGAAAGAACTTGATGAATAAACATTATAAAATCTATTAGTTGCTTTTTAATAATACATTAATATAGTAGGATCTATATAAATGAAATCTGCATAGAGTGCTTTTATAAAAACAATTTGTGAGTTTTGTAAACCAATGTAGGGATATGAATTTGCAAAGAAACATATATAAATAAATAAAATGGTATTAAATATAGCAAATTGTTTAGGAAGTATGATTATTAATAAAAATATTAGATTTATTGGAATGTAGTAGTTGGATTTGTATCTTTAAAACATTTGAAGAGTGTGAAAATCATTATTTAAGAAATAGATTAGCAAAGAATTCAAGTTAAGAGGAATAAATTAAAACTTTTGATATTACAATATTATTTTAAAGTCTAGATTAATTGTTTTCTTAAAGTCCTACTTATGGTAATGAACATTTAATAACTGTTATGGATGCTATAAATTAGATTACAATTGAATGTTTAGAATAATAATAAATAATTGAATAGAAAAAAACAAATGTATAATTTGGAGAATAGAAGAAATATTTTTCACTTTCTAAATTAGTTGAATTAATAAAATTTAATGTATTTAGATTAGATGTTTTTTGGGAATTGATAATAGCTCATTTTATATCAGTAATATCATCACGTAATACTAACTTAGTTTTAAATGCAGCTGATACTTTATCTTAAATTATCTTTTATGGATTTGAATATTTAACTAAATTTTATAAAAAGAATTAACAATAACAAAATTAATAATTTATTAAAGATAAATGGTCTAATAAAGAATCTTTATATTAATAGACTTTATTTTAACCATGGTTAGATATGTGTACATTAAGATTGAATGATATTAAAGAAATAATACTTAATAATATTTTAAAAATGATTTAAAATAATGGTCATGAAATATCAAATAAAGGTTGGGATTCCATATTAACTTTATTATTAAATATTAGTTCAGAATAAACAACTATATTTGTTAAATAAGGATTAGGATGTACTGAATAGATTATTAATTAATTTTTATCTAATTTGGATGGTAAATAAATATTTTAATTATTTGATATTATTGATAATTTTAAATCAAATTCAAGTATTATTTTATTATAATTATATTTTAGATGAATAGAATATCAATTTTTAAATATGTAATATGTTATGGCATCTTGGAGATTACATTACTAAAAATAATTCAAATTAAGAATAAGGAAATTTAATTACAAATGAATAATTAGAAATGAATTTAAAAGAAATATTTTAAAAATTGTCTATTATTGCACTTGATCCAATACCTGAAATTAGACATTCAGCTATTCATATTTATAGTAATTTATTAATACATCTTAATTCATAAAATTAATATCTTGAATGGAAAAAGATTTTGGAAGAGATATTTTTAGAATTAATGCATAAAATCATATAAGTATTCTAGGATAAAAATTAAGCTAAAGAACTTGATGTCTAATAATGGGAGGAAACTGTAAAAAGTGTCTATTAAGCATTTGTTAAATTAGTCAAAAAATATTTTGTTGTTATAGAAGAATCATCACCTAATAAGTAAATTAATATATGATATTTAGAGATTAAGATATTGAAGCTTTAATTCGTTAATCTATTCCTGATTTCATTATTGTGTTTTAATAAAATAAACCATTATTAAGTATGGAAGCAACAAAATAATTAAGAGAATTATTTTTATATCAACCAATAATTTGTCTTTAAAATTTTGAAGAGATTTTAAATCAAATTTCAGAAATGTTTAATTTCCCTTCTTCAGATATCAAATATTTAAAAACAGTTATTTTACATATAACTCCAGATGTTTTAGAATTATTAAATGACATTTTAAAATTAAGCAAAGATATATTAATTGAATAAGTAATTGATACCTATTATAAAATATTGGAATTTCCATTGATTGCACATATGAAAATTGATTTAATTCAAAATAAAATATTTTTTGAGGATAATTTAGCACCTAAACAAATTTTAATAACATTATCTTAAACTTTACCAAAACAAAGTCCTAAATTAATTTAAAGAATTATTTACAATATTAAAGAATTAATTAAAGATCCTCCAAATGATAAATATAAACATATGTTATTAAAAAGACATTTCACTTAGTTTAATATGATGATGGATAACAACATTTAACTATTTTTTTAATTTTCAGAGTTATATGAATATATACTAATCACAATGAGAAATAATGATCAATATATTTATTATTCAGAATTACTTAATGAAGATAAATCAATTTATATGATGATGGCAGAAAATTATTTATAAAGAGCAAAAATCTATCTTCAAACAAATAAGGAAGATTCACTCAAAATACTATCAGCATTACAATAAGTTTTACCAGATAAACTCATTTTAGACAAATAATTAGGTTAAAACAAAATTTTATAAAATGAAAATTAATCATTAGAACTTTATTATATTGAATTAATAACAGAAATATATAGAGGTAATCCTCAATTATCAGAAACATCTGAATTTCAATAATTTATATAAAAATTACATGAAATGTCAGCTAATTCTTAAATAGCAATTAATAAGTTATGTTTATTATCTTAAAATTAATTTGTTATACCATACTTATTAGATGCAAGTTAAAAAATATTGGAAAGAGGAATAATAGATGAAGCAAATAATTAAAAAATTATTTTAGATTTACTAAACAATCTTTAATAAATTTCTATTCCTGATAATTCATTTCTATTATTTTAATAATTAAGTGGTGATTTTATAGCTTATCCTGAATCATCACTTTTATAAAGTGTATTTGGACATCTATTTTATTTAATGCCTTAAATGGTTTAAATAATAACACATAAATCTGAAGAAGTTAGAATAAAAGTAAAAGAGATATTAGAACAGATCTCATAGATTATTTTAAAATAATAATTATAAAAATGAAAGTATAAATATAAGAATAACAAATTTTTTTGATTTTTCAATAATTTAGTTTAATTTAAAAATTAAAATCAATATTTCATTTTTTATTTTCAACACAAAAAACATGATTTTCTGAATCAGAATAATCAACACTTTTACTATTACTTTTTTTCTTTTTTTAATTCAGTTATTATTCATTTTCTTCATTTTTTGACTATTCTTATTCTTCATCTACTATTTCTTCATCTACTTTTTCTTCATTTAATTCATCATCATTATCATTTTCTTCTTCTTCTTCTTCTTCTTCTCCTTCATCCATTTCATCTTATAATTTCTATATTTCAGCATTATCATTAACAATACAATCACTCATTTTTAATCCATATTTTACTATAGGTGGTAATTAATTAGGTATTAACCAATCCATATTATCTCCTTTTTCAATTTCTTCAATTTCTTCAGCTCCATTCATTTAATAATTTTATTCTTCAATTAAAGCCTTTTAAGCTGCTTATCTATCATCAATATCTTCAACTTATTTGATTGCTTAATCCATTTTTTCATCATCAAAAAGTTAAAATGATTTTAATATTTATTCTGGACTAAACATACCAGATTACATCACAAAATCATCTAATTATCTTTTTTATAAAGATTTCAAAAAAATATTCTCTTCAATAGTAGAATTAGTAATTAATCTATATATAGTAACAGGTCTAACTTAACCAATTCTATGACATCTATCTTAAGCTTATTTATCCATAGCTGGATTCCAATCAGTATCATAAAAAATAACAGTATCTGCTCCAGTTAAATTTAATCCAATTCCTCCACTTCTTGTTGATGATATAAAACATGTAATATTTAATTGATTAAAACTTTCAACTATTTTTTATCTCATTTCAACTGGTGTAGATCCATCCAATCTTAAATAGGATATCTTACTTAAAGATAGTACTGCTTCAAATAAATCTAACATTTTAGTCATCTATGTAAAAATAATAATTTTATGATTTTGTGATTTTAATTTATAAATTAAAGATACTAAAGTATTCATTTTACCACAATCATAAATTAATAATTTCTTATTAGGAAATAACATTCTTTATTTTTAGATCATATAAAATAATGAATCTATTCCTTTTGGTATAATATCTTATTATTATGTTTAATAAGGACTATAATAGAGTTATTATGGTAATGCATCAACTTTTCTAATGACACAACTAAATTCATTAAGAGTGTCTTGCATTTTATCTAATAAATAATCAACAGTTGGCATCAAGAAACTCTTAATCTTCTCTTTACAAAAAGTAAGTATTTCAGGATTGTATGTTAATAAAGCATGATAAAATATTATTTTTAAATAACTATTTTACATATTTGATTTAAATCTAGATTAAACTTATTAATTTTCTAATTCAATCCATCTTTTACCAAATTTAGATGATTTCTTATTCATAATTCTTTATTCTATTATATTTTAATAATATTATAAAACTTCTTAAGAAGGGAATCTTTGTTTAATGAATGAAATATTTAATTTTATTGGAGATTATTTTAAATTTACTTAAATTCTTTTTGGATATGTAAATTTAAGAGCAGGAAAATAGAATGGTTATTCTACTGGTCTTTATTCAAATAATTCAGGATGATTACATACCTTTCTTAATTATTATACTTTATTCATCATAGTAACAAAATCTGTTCCTTAAATTTCAAAGTTACCAGAAGATTATATAAATTCATCATATAAATATTTCTATCTTCTTGATAAATCACATTTAACAATTATCTCTCTTTTTTCTGGTAATTACTTCTCTACATCCTTTTTTAATCTTCTCAATACAAAAGGTCTTAATATATCATGTAATTATCTTAAGACTTCTTCTGAAATAGTTTTGTTTTCTGAAATAGCTTTTTCTATACTCATAAACCACTATAAAAAATCTTAATGACTATCAAAGATAGAAGGCATTAAAAAATGAAGTAAACTCCATATTTCACCTAAATCATTTTATAAAGGTGTTCCTGTTAAAAGTAATCTACTTCTTGTATTAAAATTCAATAAGACTTACCATCTTTAAGATTTAAAATTTTTAATATGTTAAGCCTCATCTAATATCATATAATACCACTTCTTTCTTTTAAATACTTTACTATCTTATATAACAATCTTATAACTTGTTATACAAACATGAAAACTATTTAATTAACTCCATCCTTATCTTTTTAATTTTCTCTCTTTTGGTGAACCAAAATAAGTCATAATTTTAAAAGCAGGACACCATCTTTTAAATTCAATTTCCCAATTCATTAAAATACTTGTAGGAACAATTACTAAATGAGGACCCCATATTTATTTATTTGCTGCTAAATAGGCTAATAATGCAATAGTTTATATTGTTTTTCCTAAACCCATTTCATCTGCTAAAATTCCATTCATCTATTATTAATGTAAACTAGCCATCCAATGAACACCTACTAATTAATATATTCTTAATTATCCATTTAATAAAAATGGTTATTATTCCAATAAACCTATATTTATAATATTCTTATACTATCTTCTGCTTCAAATAAAAATGGAAATTTTTTAGATTTTTTAAGTACTTTTAAACATTTATCTGCATCTAATACACTTTCATCTACTTCTTCATCTTTAGATTAAACTTTAGCTATTTCATATCTATCTTATCCTACTTTTATAAGGTCAATTACAAAATCTGATTTAAAATTACTTAAAAAATACTTGATTAAACTGATTATATTTATTTTTTAAATCCAGGCCATGCATTTTATCTTCTTTTTAATTCAAAATAAAGTGTTTTGAATTTATCTATTGGTATCAAATTGATTTCATCTTCTTATTATTCATTTTAATATTATGATAATTTCTATCCAACTTCTTCTGTAACTTCTTTTAATCTAGTAACTATATCTCCTAATTTCTATTTTTGACTCTCTTATTTTATTTTATCATCCTTAAATTATTGCACTTATTTTCTTATTTACCACACGTATTTCCAAAATTCTCTCTATACTGTTTTGGCTACTTTTTGTAATTGTCTAAATTGGTTCTTTTCTTCATTCTTTATATTATTTTCACTTTTACCCTCTCTTTTTCCTTAATTGCCTCGTAATATTTTAACCTTTTATTAATTGCTTATTCTGCTAATTTTTTAGTTTTAAATTTAAAACATTCAAGTCTCTTAGACATATATTATTACATTTCACTCTACTATTACTCAAAATATTACCATCTCATTTAGGACATAATTCCATCTATATTAAGTATTAGTTTTCGGTTCTACTTTTTTTTCAGGTAAATTTCCATATTATTCTTTTATTTCTTTCAATTATTCTTCTAATTTGAATTTCTCTTCCAACATCTGGCTTCTTGATAATTTACTTTATAATTTTTGCGCTTTTTTAATTGACTTACTTTCTGATTCAGACATAAATAATATTAATTTTATTCTAAATTATTTTCAAGTAACAATTAATACTTAAGATTCCAACTCATCTTTCAATTATATAAGTATATCAACTTTTTGACAATTCAAATTTTGTATTTGGATTCTATTCTAAATTAGTTAACAATTTGAAATTCTTGCATATACAAAAAATTTTATAGATTTATATTAAACTACCATGTATTTTAAATTATAATTATTTAAGTTATTAAAATATTTTATCTTGATTGTTTCAAATTGTTGAATCTTATTTAAAACTGATTCAACAATAAAATATATAATTATAATATTTTTATAAATTTTAATTTTATAGATTAAAAAATATAGAATAATTATTATTATATATTTGTAATTTCTTCTTCATATTTTAACGGCATCAGAATTTATTAATTATTAAAGATTTGAAATTTTTATGATAAAATATAATCCTTTAATGATCCAATTAAATTATTCATATTTATTGTTCTAAAAATGGAACTAAGCAATAGATATCATATTGTTGATCATCCTTTAATTGATGATCCTATGTTAGATGAAGGATATACAAGGTAAATGAATGATTTAAATAACACTTAGAAAATTTGGAAGTTATAAACCAAAATTTCATGGATCTCTTCCAGGATATTATCCCTTTGAATTCAAAGATTACATTTATGTATTATTATTCACACTTTTAACTTGTGGAGTATGCATTCCTATTTGGTATGGTCTTGTTGAAGGAGGTAATTATAATAGTTCTATAAATAGCTAAGACTAATTCAAAGTAATTTAGTATAATAAGTGCTGTGAGTTTTTTTGGTTTTTACTTTATTCAAACCTTAGCCACTTATTATGGAGGAAGATTAAAGAAGGTTGTTGAGAATAAAATGATTTAAGATAAGTTGATAGAGATGGAAAAAAAAGAAGTTGAAAAATAGAAATTATTGGCAGCTATTTGATTTGATATATATTCATCATTTATTATTTTTAGCCATATGGTTTTTAATCCAGATATGTTCTTAAGCCTCTTTTAAAGTAAGTCTCTTACTAGGCTAATTTTGTAATAATCCTACTATCAGATCTTTTGCCTCTTCGCTTACACATTACCAATTATAATCTTCCATACTATATATACCATCAATAGTATTTTATATGATTTCTTATGGTATGTCAGAATCAAATGGCAAATATCCACTTAACATATAATACAATATGACTCCAAGTGCAAATACATCAACAGCATATGTAATTTCTTAAAATTATAACATTTCTGGTGCTTAATAATTACAAGTTCCACAATGATAATTTTAATGTTCATTATTTTTTTGTATTTTAGAAAGATGATTAGCTAAACCAAAATCAATTAATTTAATTTGTTTAACAGTATTTTTATCTAATATCATCAAAATATTCTCAGGTTTTATATCTCTGTGTACTATTCCAATCGAATGAATATATGACAGAGCATCAAGTAATTAATTAAATATTAGTGCTGCTTCACCTTCATCTAAGTATTATTTATTTTAAACATAATCAAATAAATCTCCATCTTCTATTAATTCTGTAATAATATGAATTTAATCTCTATTCTCAATAGAATCAATCAATTTTATTATACAAGAATGATTTAATAATTTTGTAATACTTATTTCATGTTTTACAATATCCTATTCTTCTTGAGGAAGATTTATTTTATTAATTATTTTTAATGCATAAAATTATTTATCTATTTTAGATTAACATCTGTAAACTATTGAGTATTTACCTTCCCCAATTTTATCAAAAATGGAATATTTTTTATTTACTTCTCCATTAAAATATAGAGATAATGCTCTTTACCATTCTCTATATGAGATTTCATCTGAACAATGATAAATTTTATGTTTATAATGTGAATTCTTATGGAAAATTTCAAATCCAAACTTTTAATTAATATGATCAACTCTTTCTTCAATAATTAATCCACTTAAACAAACAATTTCTAATAAATAATTCCTAAATACTTGTAGGTTTATTATCATTTTTCTTTTAAAATTCCATAAAAGTATTTGGATATAATTAACAAAACTTTGTTTTTATTTTATTCTTCTTTGAAATTCTATATAATTCTCCTTGAATATCTAATGGTCTATATATTTATTTAAATTTTTTTACAAACTCTTATATTTAGGTATATTATTCTATACACCCCAAACATCAAAATTGAATACACAATATAAAGGTGTTATTAAATTTGGATGTTGTTTGACAAAACTTGTAAAATCTTCCAAATTAATTGGTAAGTCATTCTTTGCCTTATATACCATTTCTACATATTTTTTTATTAATAAATTTAAATTGGCTTACATTTCAATCTTCTGTCCATTTACCTATAGATTTATATAATTAATATATATACTTAAAATTATAGATTTATCCCAAATCCTTTCATTGGTATACCATTTATTTATGCTTTACTGTCTAATGTAAAAATTTAATCAATTGATTATCTTGAATGTAAACTTTATAAACCATCTACTTATAAATGATTTTAATGGTCATTTTGATTAAATTCTCTATTTTCTGAAATATTACTATACTTTCTGAACATTTATACTATAATTAGTAAATTTAAAATTACATGACATTTTAAGTAAATCCTCACTTCCTTTTCTAGGTTTGAGTTTTTTTGTTCTATGATAAGCACTTATGATTTATTATTCTTCTAAAAATAATTGATCATTTAAAATAACTTTTATTTCTTCTTTAGAATAATTATGCAACTAAAATTTATAAAAATTAGTTTACCATTTGTAAAAAATCAGTTTTTGCAATACCATTTTAATTTTTTAAATCATACAATTTGAATAAATTTTTTATTTTTTGATCTTCTGAACATTTTATATACATTTACAATCCTGTAAGAAATTCTTCAAAACTCATGTAATCTTCTTATTTATGAGTAAATTTATTAAATATTTATTCACCCCATATTCCCTAAATTAATCATCACTATTCTACAAACTATAATTTTAAAATAAGTATTGAAGGTGTCTCTACAAATTAAGTGATTTTAAGAACGGTCTGACAAGTCTCTGTAAATCATAAGTAATATATGTAATTCTTAATTATCAACTTTATAATAGAATGATTAATTTTTACATATATTAATAAATTTACTAATTACAAAGAGATATTCAGCATTTTTCTTTTTTTCCTTCTTCTAACCTTGGCATGTAAAAGTACTTCCCATAAAATTTATTAATTAAATAATTTATTCCCATATTTTTATTTTTTTGATTTATTTGCCAATTAATAATACTATATTCATTTATATATAACTAAGTTGCCTGGGATTTATTCCTTTAATGAGCCTAGATCCCAACAAAACTTAGAAATATTAAATAATTTGAGTTGTTTAATTAATTCATATCAATTATTAATTAATTCCTGGAACTCATAAACAATTTTTCTAGTATCTATATAAATGATCTTACAGAGTCACATTTAAACTATTTTAAGACTATTAATTGACAATAACATCATATTTCTTTAATTTCTGATAGTGTAATTCAATGTTTAATAAATTTTATGGCATAATTAGCATAAGAAGCTGAAGTCAGCTAATAAATTCAAAAAGTGCTTAAACAATCTGTATCTAAAAAAGAAAAGAAATCATTAATCAAATCTATAAAAAAGAGTTCAATTGCTCAAACAGGCAAGGCTACTTCATTATAAACTATTATTTCTGTATCAAATTCAATGGTTGGTACAAGTACTTTGGTTTTCCCAGTTTTATTTTGTTAATCTGGAATAGGTTTGGGAATTATAATAGCCATAATAATTGGATTGATTTCATGTAGAACAACTCAATTATTAATTGTACATAATAAATCAGATGAGGTATACTCAATTTAATGAATTAATAGATGGATTTACCAGATACTTTGCAAAGAGTTCTTGGAGCCAAATGGAAGACCATTTTTAATATTAGTAACGTAATCCTTTTATGGGCAAGTGGAATTATCTATATGATCTTAATATGCAATCAACTTTACCCCTTAATTTAAATAATATGTGATAATATTGGTATAAAAAGTGCATAACTAACTGAAATTACACTATCCAAACTTTCATACTAATGGGTTGGAATTGGTTATACTTTATTTATTTTGCCTATGTTTTTCTAAAAGAAACTAGGAATAATTTTATAACTTCTTCCTTATGGAATTATTTCTGTGTTTTCTTTCATTTTATTCACTATTTATGAAGGAATATATATGCTTATAACTGATCATTAAGGAGTAGTTGATAATTTAAAATGGTTTAGTTGGGATGTATCTACTATGGCTGGTACATTTGCACTTGCATTATTGATATAATCAATGGTTGTACCAATAATGAAGAATAATATGATTTAATAAAATAACAATCGAGATATTGCTATTGGATTTATATGGACATGGTTTGTATATTGTATGGCTGGTACCTTTGGAGCATTTGCAGTTGCTGGAGCTTTAGCTAATAATTAAAAATAAGATGGAAAAAGTGGATCAACACTATTAGATTATTATCCATCTGATAATCCTTTAGTAATAGTTATATAGGTATTACTCTTTTTATAATTGACTCTTGTCTTTCCAGTTTTATAATTTATAACAAGATCTTAATTCTTTGGTCTTATTTATGAATTAAAAAGAGAACCAAAATGGTAATTCTATGCTTTCTCATTAACTTATGCAATAACCTGTCTAATAGTTCAATGTGTTGAAGTTGATTTATCCTTAATTATTAGTTTATGTGGGTAATAATATATAATTTATTATTTATACAGAGCTGTTATTGGATTATTTCAAGAATACATCATACCAATTACTTTGCATTTGAATTGCTTATATGCTAAAAAAGTTTCATAGACTTAAAATTAGCCAAATTATAATTAAGTTTAAGTTAGTATGGAGTCAACATAATATTTAGTGGATTAAGTTGATTTTACTAAATTTTCACTTAATGATGAAGTTTATTTTTTTATTTAATAATATTTTAGGAAGATTTAAAATGTAATGATCATTCAGAACTTTTAAAACGTATGCCTAAGAATTTAAGAATATCTTTATATTCATTTATTCTAGTCATTGGAATTGCAATAGGAATTGGAAAATTAATTGATATATTTAAATGATGTTTATGTTTTCAATTCATAGAATTTATCCTCTATATTATAAAATTGTATATCATATTAAAAAAAGAATTAACGCTTGGTATCTGAAAATCGATATACAAATATCTAAATTATTGAGTATTATTAATTAATAATATTTAATAATGAAAATAATTTTATATTTATTGATATTTGGTTACGCAATCTGTGAAGTACCAAACAATAATACTATTACTTATTATAATACGAAGTCTGCTTATTAATATTTGATTGAAAATGAGGATTAGTTAATAATTGGTTATTGGACAGCAAGCTCAGAACACCTAGTTTATTTAAATATAGTTTTTGATAACTAAAATTTATTATTGCAAGTTTACCCAAGACAGAATAATAATTAAAGAGAGCCTCATTTCTTCAGATTGACTTATTCATTGAGTAACAGTTCCTATAACTTTGATTCAGTCCAAAAGTATCTATAAATTATTACTATTTAGTCGATTGACATGGAAAAATGTCTTAATTGAAATTACTATTTAAAATAATAGAAATCACACACCATTTTAATGTTAAGCCACTCTTTATTTAGAAATTGAAAAATACTAAAATTCAAAAAATCTTAATATTTATAGTGATTTTGACAAGGATTGTTAATTGACTGAAGAAACAATAAAACTATTAATATTTAACAATTCACAATATACTTTATAAGTGTAAATCTACTCAGTACTTATCATATTCATTTCATTATTTCAAATAATTAATTCACATTACTATTTAAATACAGTTCCTATACCAAATTAAGGTGGATCGATTACTATGTCTATCATACTTGCTTAAGATATTTACATATGTATATTGAGTTCATTACTATTTGATATACCAAGATTATGCTATTTTATACCTTCTTTAGTTTGTCAATTAATTACTATTTTATTTGACCTGAAATTAAAAACTAAATTATCAGTAATTATATTATAATATTGTATAGTAAAAATAAAATTACAATAAGAAAGAATTTCTTTTATTTTTCATTGAATTACTATCTCTAACATTTTTATTCCTTCAAATACAATATTCATATGAATTGATCCTTCTTAATTTGCTTTTATTTCCATAATTAATATTCACATATTTTACAGGAAAACGATAGAAATTTAGCTTTAATTATATTGGAATCATTGTCCCAAGAGTAATACTTTCCTTATACTTTACAGGATACACTAATAACATTTTATTAATGGAATATAATTTAATTGTTTTTACAATAATCTTACTTATATTTCTAATATCATCCTTTTTATACTATTGCCAATGTCAATATGGATTATTCATCCTATCAAAAAATAAATTTAATTACTTTATTAAATTTAAGGATGATCATATCAAAATAGATTGTTCAATTTGTCTGGTTAATCTATCAGATACTCCAGATCATATCATAAATTCAGAAGAACCTATTCTTATTTAGACTTTAAATATGGCTATATAAAAACAATTATTAATGAACACTCCATGTGTAAGACTTAATTATATACATAGAATCATATATTTCATCCTTCTTGTTTGATTTAATGGATGTAGATTAATCTTACTTGTCCATTATGTAAGAGTTCACTTCCTTAAATATGTTGATAGTAGAATCACTAAAGAAAATAGACTTCAAATTTTGTTATGAAATTAATATATTATCAAAAATTCATATTTTCATATTTCAATTAAATTTTCATAATCCATATTTGTTTCATATAATTCTCATTCCATCTTAGGATTAGAAATTATTAAACATAATAAAAATGGAATTTTAACAAAAATTAATCCACTCTATTATTTGTCAATTGTTAATTTAAATAAACTAAAAATTTTGTATTATAATTCAGTAATTGAATGAATCTACTTTTTATATTGTATAATACATGTTATTCTCTTTAAATAATATAAAATAATAAATATTTTTTGTAGAAAAATATGTATAATAAATAAAATATATCATATAATCTAATTTATGATTAATTGATTAAGTTTACAATTAAACAATTGTTGGGAAAATTTATTTCAGAAAAAATTGAAAAATAACAATATTATATATAGAATTAATACATTATGTAAAATAAATAATTATGAATATATTTATAATAAGAATTTTTATTTTTTTATATACATAATGTAAATATTAATATAAATTATAATAAAATTTAAAATATATTTTAGAAGATAGAACTATGTGTTGTTATTTTCAATTTCATAGACAATTTTTTAGTTCTTATATTTAGAAATCAGATTTCTTTTTTGCATTAATTTAACAACAAATATCCTGTAATTAAGTTGTATATATCTTAAAATATATATTTAAATTAGTTCTGCTGTTTATTAATAGTTTATATTAAATCGATTAATAGAAAATAGGAGGTTTCTCTAAAATTAATATAATTTTCATTCAATTATTAATTGATAATATATATGAAATATTTAAGCTTATAATTAAAAAAAATATTGTGATAATAAGTATTATAAACCATAGACTACAATTTTAAGGAATGAAAAGTAAAAAATAATATTGATAATAAATAAATCACGAAATTGTCATTGTTATTATAATTGTGATGAAGGACAGGATTTATTTTCTAAGATAGTCAGTAAGTGTTTTAGAGGTAAATTAAGATGATTTTTTTTCTAACTTCTTCTACTTTGAAGAGAGTTTTAACTTATTTGATGATGATATTGAATAACTTGCATTCCTTCCTCTAAAATTTCTTAGACTTAAATTTTTTCACTTAATTATACTAATCTCTTTAAAAAATTTTGAGGAGTTTTTAAAGAAGTATTTTGGCAACTTGAAAGAGGTTTAGTCTGTTATTTCATTGAACACTTTAAGTTTTTAAAGTTATTTTTAATAAATCTAATTAACAAATATCTGATTTATATGCTCAAATAATTTAATTATTTCTTTTTAATAAAGATATGTTTAATTTATGGTAAATAATATTGTTTTTGAGTATTTATTTATTGGTAATAAGTGGAATTGAAATACTCTATTACCTTACCTTTGATTTCATGTAAGAAGAATTTAGTTAAAAAGATAAATTGATAAGAAAATATCTTAAATCTTATCAAATAAGATGAACTTTTACAGCAATAGAACAATTTTTTGATTGACTCTTAATAATATTTAATAAATTATATTAATATAATAGAGGAAGATAGAAATACTTAAAGTAGAAAATATAAATGAGTAATATATGTTTATGAATTAATTAATATAACAATTAGAATGTCGCTATTTGATAGGAATATTCAATTATTAATAAGTTCCATATTAATTTCTTATTTTCATTAACTTCATTTATCATAAAAAATTAGTTCAAGATTTGTATTCAATTAAAGTGTTTCAAATTTCATCATTATATACAATAATGAGTTTAGGTGAAGTTTTTATAGTTCTACATTGAATTAGTTGTTTAGATTTGTTGTTTTATATAGTCATATATTGTAATTTTGAAAGGGAAAATTTCACTTTTTAAGACTTCTTTATTTTTATAAATTGCAGAGGGTGATATTTAACTTTTATAAATTTAATATTTATCATAAGTGTGATTCTAAGGTCTTTAATTTTGCTAATATTTTAGATTAGATTGTAAAATAATTAAAATATATAATATCTTTGTTAAAGATTTCACTTTTAAAATTGAATGATATACAATGAGGCTTTGTAAGTTGAATAATATATCATTTAAATATTAGTTAGAGGTTATATATTTAAAATTTTTACATCATGATGTTTAACTGAAATTAGAATAGTTTATTTAGTCTTTTTAGTGTTTAATTAATGAGATTTTATGATTGTTAATTTATGAAATAAGCTATTCTAGCAATTTTATTTTTTGGATTGTGTATTCATGCATAGATGGAAAGACATACATTATAAGGAGCATTGAGTTTACTTGAAAAGGCTGAAAATAATATAATTGTTTATGATTAACAAGAACCAAGATTATATACTTGGTTTTGTTTATTAAGAGATAGTGTTACAAGACTATTCCATCCAATAACAGAAAATAAACTAGCAAGTCATAATGCATACTTTGGATCAATTCCAGCTGTTATTTTCATGGCTGGATTTATGCCTATGATCCTATTAGTCGTTTTTAGTTATGGCATGTTCAAATTCATTACATATGAACCAAAGAAGATGGAGTTTAAATATACTAAATTGCCAATTAAAGATATTCCTAAGCCTTAGAATAATCAACTCTAATTTCCACCAATTAGCATATTCAGTTTTATATGATTATCTTATATATATATAAAATGTTATCAAATAACTATTCTAAAAACTGGGTAATTTAATTTACATTCATTTAATTCTAAAATTTTGTTATAAAATCAATTTACCATAATATATGATTTTAGAAAATCATGATATCTAGCATAAGTTGGAATTAAAATATATTCTTTTAATACATATGAATTTAATTATAAAATAGATAAAATAAAAACAATAATATCAGAAATAGAATACAAAATAAGGCTATAATATATAATTCTAAGCATTTATAAATGAAGAGTATAATGATTATAATATGCACTTAAAAAAGAAATATTTTAATCCCCAAATAAAGAGTTATAGTATAGTAATTAAAGAGTATTAAATGATTAGCAGAATTATGTGTAATACATTTCTTTATCTTCGTAATTATAAAATTATTTAAATAATATAAAATTTGATTCATTCAATAATTTTACTTTAAGTCTAAAAATATTAATTTTTTATACATTTTGCCTACTTATTAATAATATAAGTAAATTATTGATCTATAATTTTGATTAAAAATGTAATGTGATAATATTTTTTTATTAACATTTAATGTGAAAAAGATGGTTTTGTTTGTTGTTTGATATTTTAAACAGAATAAATTTGATTATTCTTAATTTTAATATTTAAATTTCATTATCTTTTAATATATATATATAAATTAAAATAAGTCTTATGAATTATCACAAATAAATAGACTTCTTAAAATATAATATATTATTATATAATAATATCTTTCAAAATCTATGATATTGGGGTGGTAAATAATGTTGAGGAGGATATTAATGCATAGAGGGATGTACTGGATAAGGATACATAGATTAAGAATTAGGAGGTGGACTTCTTTAAACTCTAACATCCTAAACAGGTTATTTCCGATGATCTTAAGATTCAAATTAAGTTTTCTTTTCTTAGATCGTTACACGCAATGGTTCTTTGATTCTACTACCTTAAAGAGAATTGATCTTAGTGCTTTCAGTAACATTAGTAGTGGGTAATTAATGTATACCTATAAAATCAGGAATTGAGGTATGTTGAACTCTTATTATTGAACTTAGAAACACACTTAACTCAGAACTTTGATTAAATAATTTAAGTTACGCTCTATGTTAATCTATTTAAACTTCACTACTGACAGTTGGGAATGCATTTATATATTCTCCTATTTTCTTATAATAAACATGATTATCTTCTTAAAAGGTTGTTGTGAAATAGGGAATGAGAGCTGTTAAACAATCAGAACTTTAAAATGTATTTAACATCTATTTCATTGATCTCCATCTTTCTTCTATCATAGATAATAAATGTTTAGCATCTCTCTCTTAATTATTCACATTCTTTTTCTATTTATGTTAGACTTCATTCTCTAAACCATTAAAGAATTATTCAACCACATCTTATATACGTTTCTTAATCTCTCTAATCTTTTTTATTGTTTTATCAGCATGAACCTCAAAAGTATTCACATGCTTTTTGATATCATAATAAGAATTAGTAAATTTCTTCACTAAAATGATACAATTTAACAATTACATTCATTATTTACATGATCACTTGCTTAATTCAATAAGACTTCTAATGATTCAAATACTGGATATGTGCCTTCATTTACATGCTCCTTAGAATGAAGATGTATGCAAAGAGGACATAAAGGTATTATACATTGTGGTGCTCGACACATGTTAGATATATAATAACCTTTATGATAGTAACATTCCACTTAAGGAAGATTATTAGAGTCAAAGAAAACTGTTCTTGCTAAATTATCTGATAATCTTTCAGGTTGCTGAAAAGAATCCTATTTCCCTTCATTAAATTCATCATCGACTTGTTTTACTATATTATCCATTAAAATAGTTGTTAAAATTAACGAATAAAAGCAAATTAAATTAACAAAAACAATTCACAACTCTTCTTTACTAAATGTAGAATGCATTTTCTTGAAAGTTCTACCTCCTCCAAGTACATCATCAATGAATGTTATGATTTCATTTGTTTCTATTGAATTCTAAACAGCATATGTTTATCTCTTTGGTTTTATAATCACAGCATATGATTTAGTCTAATCTTTTTCAAATTTAGAAGTGAATTACCTATGATAATGAAATTACAATACTTTAAAGATCCATAATAGAATTAAATGTTTTCATTTTAATATTTACTAGGTATTTTAGATATTAATTCTAATTCTAACTCATTGTTTATTAACAATAAGAAACATAAGTCCTTACCTTTTTATATACATTATTCATAATTTTATCTATTCAACTATTAAATTAACTTCTATGGTGGTTCCTTCTTTTATCCATATGCAAATTATCTTAAAAATTTAACAATCTAATCTTTTTTAAATTCTGATTCATAAACTTTAAAATCTTAATCATTTTAAGCAACAACCAAACTTGGATATTCAGTTATCTTGAAAATCTATGATAATTAGATTTCAGATTATCTAATCATAGCAAATTCTAATTTGCCTTTGAATTCTTTTGAAAGAGCCTTAAATAAAGGAGGAGTGGATTTTTTATTAGTAAATAATATAACTTTAGGTTTTGATTTTTCCATGTATTCTTAAAAATTAAATCCACTTAAAACAATAACAAAATCTTCCATCAAATCTACAGCTTCCTTTGCTAAATCATTTAATTCCCATTTTCCTTTATACTTAATAGGTTCTGCAGAAAGACGAGATGCATAAATAGAAACAGAAGGATATCTTCTAACTGAGAATTCATCTTCACACAATGCTTCATCATCTTCACAATCAATAGCTGCTACTCTAAAAATACCAGCATATTTTTCAGCTAATTCAATAATTAATTTTTTATGTTTTTATCCTTCTCCATTAGGTAAATAGAAATAAATTAACCAAACTTCTTCTCTTCTGTAAAATCGAGAGAGATTACTCATATCAAGAGCATAAACATCTGTATTATCAAATAGATTATCTTTTTTTGCTTGACCTCCATCCTCAAATTCTTGATTACCAAATCCACCACCACCTTGATTTCCTCCAAAATTAAAATGGAATTATTGACGACCACCACCGCCACCACCACCACCTCTTCCAAAGAATTATGAAAAAATATCCTCAAAACCACCAAAATTATGAAATCCTCCTCCACCACCTTATTATTATTATTGTTCATGTTTATTTACACCTTCTTCACCATATTAATCATAAATCTTTCTTTTTTCTGGGTCTTTTAATGTTTCATAAGCATTTACTATTTTTTAGAATTATTTCTAGGCCTAAAGAATAATAAGAATAATTAATTACCTTCTCCTCATTTCCCTTATTTTTATCAGGATGGTATTTCAAAGACTATTTCTTAAAAGCCTTCTTGATTTCAGCTTCACTTGCTCCTTTCTTTAATCCTAACAACTGATAATAATCTTCTCCAGCTATTACAAGCAATAAGAAAATTGCCAGCAACACGAATTTCATTAAATTTATTCTAGAATTTTATTTAAATAACAGACAGAATTTAAAATGTCTATATCCCCAACAGGTGTTCAACGTTATGACAATTCTCCATATGTTACCAAAAAATAATAACCTCAATATCCAATTCCTTAATAATACCAATAATCAACCTAACCACTCAATTAACCAGATTATTTTGATGATAAATATCGTGAATTTGAAGAAAGAGAAGAATAATACAATTATCAAATCTAAAAAATGAATGATTATATTCAAGTAAATAAACTTAATCATAATAGCAATTATAACATGATTTGGATGTATCTGAACATGCAAAATAAGGATTTGAATCAGATTATTTAAAAGTAGCTCATGAATTATAGCTTTATAAGGATCAATTAAAGAAATTATATACTATTTATCAATAATAGACTGTTTAATTTGAAACTATTAAGAAGAAAACTTAGGAATCAAATCAAAATGTTGAAAGAACATATGAAAAGTAAATTGAAATAAAAAATGATGTTTAAAATCTTATATTAGACAGAGATCTTTTATTAAATAAATTAGAATTAGGTGATAAACAATATAATTTTGATGTACAAAGTTTGACTCAATAACTTAATGATAAGAATGCTGAGATTTAAGATTAAAGAAAAAGAATTAATGAATTAACTGAATCAAAAAGAAAAGCTGATGAAGAAATAGCATCCTTAAGATTTACATTAGATCATCAGACAGCTAGATTAGAAGCTGAATTAAGAGAAAAAGTACTAAAATTAGAAGCATTAGATAAATAATTTGCAGAAGCACTTTATCTCAAAGACAATGAATTAGTAGATGCATTTGATAAAATTAGAATCTTAGAACATGAAGTTAGACGTATTTTAGATTTGAATAGAAGTTATGCTTAAGAATTGAGTATGTTAGCAAGAGACAATAGATTTAAATAGGAAGAAATCACTAAAGTTAGAGAAGATGCTGTAAATTTATTATATAATTAATAGAAACCTGCTATGCCATAATAAATCAGTGTTTAATCAGGTGGTATGGAACCTAGAATGCCACCAGCTTGGGCTGAGAAATTCCATATTAAAATAGATGCATGTTTAGATTTATTTGAAAGAAATCATGCTAAATCTTTAAAATAATTGTGTATAAATCTTTGGAAAACAAAAATGGAATTAAAAGCAAGAAATAAATAGAATAAAACTATGGTTGAAGAGAATTCAAATCTTGGCAAAAGTGTAGTTTTAAGTGGAGGATCTGATATGAGAGTTACTACATATTTTATAGATTCATTTGTGGCAGCCATTACTTTTGCCAGAGATGCTATATCTAATGTAGTTTTTGATGTTTTTGTTAAAAGTGTTAATAAAGCAAATAATAAAAAACTCAATTCTTTTGTACTTTTCTTTGAATCTCTTAAAGAAATGTAACAAAAATCTAGTAAAGGATTGTGGTTAGCTTTAGAAACATATGCTAAATTAAGAAAAGCTTTACGTCATTCTGTACCAATCCTTATAGATGCAAAAGTTCAAAATGGATTACTTTAGAAAGTAGAATTAGCTATGGGTAAATTACTAAAACATGATATGGATTTCAGAAATAATATTAATAAATGGCTAGAAGGAACTTTGGCCTTTACTGTTTAAAAGAAAGAAGCAGAAGCTTATGATAAAAATAGAGATTATCTGTTCTTGTTTAGATTATTAACAGTTAAATATAGGATCAAATTTCCATTATAAGGAAAGACATTTGAGGTTGATGTAGACATTGAAACAACTTTAGAGCATAAAATTTGTTATGCCTTAAGAAAGATTGTAAAATAATAATGATTATTAAATTTAATATGCGATCACTAATATGTAGATTTCGTTTTGCATATATTCTCAATGAAAAGACTAGATTCTTTGAGGTAGATCTTAAAAATAAATTATTTTTACTAAATCAGACATAAAAAGAAAATCTAAGAGATTCATGCAAAGGACTTGAATGTAAAGATGATTTTGTTAAAAATTTGCATCAAAATATTCTTTTAAATGCTCCTAAATTTAAGTCCTTCTTTGCTATCAAAAGTATAATGTATTACTATTTGTAAAATGGTTGTAATAATTAAGAGCTTTGGAAAGAATTGGGGAAGAGATTAATAGTTCTATTTAATTAAAATAAAGATTTTGATAATCCTACTTGTCTTGCTTAATTAGCATATATCTTTGGGTAATTAAGAAGAAAGCATTACTTATAAGATAAGGACGATATTATTTTATATCAATAATGCAGCAATTTATTAGTTGAAAGAATTCCAAATTTTTTAAAAGTATAGTCTTCATAAAATATTACTCATATAATAGCATTAATTCAATAATATGAAATTTAACATGAATATGTTAGTAAAATAGTTGAAATTTTATTAATTTAATAAAGTTTTATAAATTTCAGTATTATTGATATTTATCATTTATTATGGAGTCTAGTATCTGGTTCTAATAAATATCTAATATAATTTAGTATATAGTTATTGGAAAATGAATAAATAATATAAAGAATTAAGTCAGATTTTAATACTTTGAAAGAAGATTAATAAGCTAAATTATTAATTGCTTTAGGGTAATTTCGATTTAATGATAAAGATTGTATTGATTAAATTGTTAAAGATTTAAAAATATTTAGTACAAATTCATTATTGTCACTTTTATCAAAATATTTGAAAAATCCTATGCATCAAATATCAAATTAATATCGAATTGTAATTGCTTTAAAAGAATAATTTGATGAATACTTTTAAATGGAAGACAAAGATTTATTAAATTCTATTATGGGTATTAAAATACTACTTTTCATTCCATCTTAAATTAATCATGAAATCAGATAGTAATTTTAAAAATCAATTAAAGTATATGAACAATTTATACTTAATAATATTGAACATTTTCCAAATGAATCATTAGTTGATATACTCTATATGGCTAGCTTATTTGATTCTGAAAAATTAATTATTGAAAAGGTTTAAAATTAAATTAAAAATTTTAATATGAATCTATTAGATAGTATAACCTTCTTATATTGTATTGAAAAATACTCTAATTTATTTCATTAATAAATTAATGATTGTATAACAGCCATTATCAATATTCATGCCCACGAAATCTAAAATCTAAACTATACAAAACATATTTAATTTGTTATTGCTTTATAATTATTAGAAGATTAATTTCCAATGGTTAAAGTTCTATAAGCTTATGCAGATGAAAAAAAATTATAATAGAAATTAATTGAAACCATAAAAAAAGATTAAATAGAGAAATTTATATAGAATTTTTAATTTAAAAGATAATTCAAATATTTTTAAGGTTTTATGGAAAATAACTTTGAATATAATTTATTTATATTTGAAAAATAAGGAATATTGAAATATATCAAAGAAAGTCGTGTAGGATGTTATCTTGTTGATTTTAGAATTTGGGATATTAATCTAGAGAATGTAAATATTTCTGAATTAAAATAAATGCAAAAAAATATTGATTTATAAACAGAATTTCTAGAGGTTAAATAAGATAAATATGATGATGTTGCAATAGATAGAAAGAATGAAATAGATAATGCTTTTATTGAAATTGATGGATCTTGTCATTATGATATTAGACTTGATGAAGTTACTTAAACAGTATATAAGAAGAAAATATTAAAAAAATATTAAATTAATCTAAAATCAATAGCTCTGAATGAAAATAGAGGAATTAACAATAGTTTATAAACAATTTTAGATATAATTGGGAAATGAATATTTTATAATTAAATAAATAGTTGTCTTCATTTATTGATATTTAAATAATAAACTAAATTTATTATTATAAAATATTAAATAAGGTATCTCCTCATCTTTTATAATACAATTCTATTCATTTTACATCAATTATGAATATTAAAATATGAAATATATATTCAATAATTTAAGAGATTATTCATAAAGTCAAATATCTTATAAAATATTGATCATACATAACATGTTAAATCAATCAAAAAATTTAATCTATCATATATAATATTATAATTAATCTGTTAGATTTCTAAAACTTAAACTTCTTAGTAAATCGATGACTAATTCTTTATTAAAGCATCAGTGATTTTCAATTTTTTACTAATTAAGCTTTTTAATTATTTTCTCTGTCACATATCACATATTCTGACTACTTTAGTAAACTTATGTGATTCTATATGTAAATTATATATTATATATTTTTAAATATAGTCCTACTATTTCTAAGTCATTCAAATGATTGTGTTATTTTCTTTAAAATCTCACTTTTAGTAATCCATGCAAGAAATAAGGGTTTAATTAAGTAGACTGCTAAAATTTCAATCCAATTTTTTATCCAATATATTCAGTATGTATGTTGAGCTTGTACATTAATAAATTTATATAAATTCTCCTATTCAGGTGAAGATTAAAATTAAATCTTAAGAATATGTTATTTTTAAGTTTTCTTGTAGACTTTTAGGTTAAAGAAATTTCTATTCCAAAAAGAATAATTATTAATTAAGTACTTAAATAGAATAAAGGCATTTAGTTTTTCAAATTCCAATTATATTCCTATCACAAAATAATAAATATATCATGCTAACAACCTTTAATTCAACAAATTTAACATCAAGTAAAGAAAGACATCGCTAAATTTCTTGCCTTTTGTTAAATTATATTAGTAAATTTTATGTATAAGTATTTAGAGACTCATTATAAGAATATTTTTGTGGAAAACTAAAATTTTAACAGATTATCAAATTAGAAAACTTTGAATAATCTATAAAAGCTTAAAGAAGATTATCAAGCTAAATAGTTGGCTCTACAATACTTTTCCAGTTTTCAATTAATCTAAGACATATTAGCTTCTTAAATTGAAGTAGATTGTTTAGCAGACATCCAAAAATTATGTCTTTTTCTTTCAGTATGATTATTAATTGTACATTTGTTATTATCTACTTATTAAGATCTACACTACCAAATCAAATTATTTTTATATATATAAAAAAAAATACTTTTCTTTATTTATAATTTACAGATAATTGAAAAGATAAGAAGAGTAGATTAGCTATTAGAAGACTGTGATTATTGATCTATTTATATTATGTATTCTGATGATAATTCAAAACATAGTAATATTTATCATTTAATAATAAATTATTTAATCTTTCTTTAAATTATGATTAATTTTTAATAAATATAACATGTTTAAATTAAAAGCTACATCCTTTTAAAAATAGTAATATATCATCATTTATTAAGCTAATTAAATTATTTTTTTTAAGTAAGATTAATATTATTGTGTTATTATTTAATATTTATATCTTTTGTATAAATAGAATAATAATAATAATAAAAAGAACATCTAATGGTTTAATTAATTTTGAAAAAATAAATTAATATAATGCTAGATAACAATGTATTTTATATCTCGTATCTATTTTTTTTTATAATATTAATAACTTATCCTAATATTATTCAATTTTAAATAATAATCATTTTTTATTCTTTAGATGCAATTTTATAAGTAAGAAAGCTGTGTATCTAATTATAGTTTTGATGAAAACTCACTACCAGAAATATACGACGATACTGGAAATTAAGGATAAGAACTAAATATTAATTATCAATCTAATTAGCAATTTTAACAAGATTAAGAGAATTCCCTATTTGAAAATCCAATGCTATAAATTGAAAATAGTGATAATCAATAAAATTGTTATTAATAACTAGATTAAGAATAAGAACACGAAATCTGTCACTAATCATAAAAAAGCACAATAATTGCTAGAAAAAAATCAAAAATTAGATTAAAATAACCAAAAAAAATATATAAAGAAGAGCCTATTGCTTAGGAATGCGAAAAAAAAGAATCAACATAATAATCAGAGACAAAAAATTTGCCTAAATTCTATGCTAATTCAATTTTAAATAAATTGGAAAATCTGAACATGATTTGTTAAAAATAAAATCCATAGATCAAGAAGAAAATAAAAAAATTTGATGAAAAACCAAGTAATTTAAAAACCTTAAGAGAAATGCTTTAAGATCCAATTATTAATAAAATTACAATTGAATTTATAACTAGCTTTGATTTTCTCGATCAAATATTAGGATCAGGAAGATTATAAGATGTTAAACCACCAATTACATATTTAAATAAATTGTATCAAGGATGCTTAAATACAGATGCTTTGAAATAATGGAAATGAAAATTTATATCAAAAATAGAATCAAAATACAACAATATATTTTAAGTAATTAATTAATATAAGATTATTATAATTTTTAATTCTAAATATTCTTTTACATATCTTAAAAGAAAAACCAATAAATCTTACTAATATATTGGATAATATAATAATACTTTAACGTATTCTTAATTCATTCTACTTATTAATTTTATTCTTAGTTATTAGTAACCTATTAATTCTCCTATTATTTATCTTATTATTCTTATTCTTATTATTCCATCCTTTTTTACTCTTCAGCTAATCTTTCATTTTCTTCTTTTTCTAACTCTAATTTTCTTGCTTCCTCTTCCATTTATTCTTTTTTCTTTCTTTCTTCCTCTTCTTTTTATAATTGTTCTTATTTTCTTTATTCTTCTTCTCTTTTTTTCTATTCTTCTTGTTCAGCTAAAATTCTGGCTTATTCTTTTTATTCTTTCTATCTTCTTTCTTCTTCTTCTCTTTTTTTCATATAAGTTTGAAACGTTTCTCTTTCTTTTTTTTATTTTGGAGGTTAGTACTTAACTTCTTTTTTTGTTGACCATTTAGTAACATCTCTCTTATTTTCAAGATCATCTAGAAATTTTTTAAGTCTTTCAACCAAAAGAGGAGGTTATGGAAATAATTATGTATTCTTCTTTGAATAAATTAGTATGCCTAAATATTATTGATAAATTATTAACCTTTATGTCTAATCTCAAATGATCCTGTATTAGGTACAATTCCTTAATTGAAAGTACAATAACTATTAGGAATAGAACTTTCAATTACTATTAAGAATTAATTAACAACTACATTATTAACATTCGATGTATAACTTTACATATTTTTCTTCATCATGATGTGTGCACCAAGCATGTTCTTAACAATTTTAACATACTTCAAAGTCAAATATTAATGCATCTTCAGAAGGAGCCTCTCTAGCTTATACAATAGGCTTTTATTTTTTTTAATCCTTCTCTTTATTATTCTAAGTTTATTTTTCAGTATTTTCAATCTGTTCTTCCTTATGTTCAATTTACTCTAATTATTCTTACTCAGCCATTATAATAAACAAATAATCAAAATAAATAATAAACACAACTATAGGCAACTCATATTTTTTTTGAAATAATCTTAGAAATAGGAACTCTTTACTGTTTGTCAATCAAATGTTATTTAAGGAAATTGAGAGATTATTATGAATTTTGTTTATGATTTATTTCTCTTCCTAATGTTTCTATTGTAACTTTTTCATTAAATTTCTTAATAACTATAATAATGAATATATAATACTTTTTTTTGATTTAATTTCTATAGGAATTGTTGTTGCTTATTGTATTTATGGCATTTTAATGGATTTAATAACTTTTTCAGATAATTTTTCATTCAAATTTCTTTAGAATGATTCATCAATTTTATTATTAGTAAAATGAGATTAAGTACTGCTACTTTATTCAGGAGGTTCTTCTTCAAATAAATTAGTTTGCTTTGCTTTTAATTATATTTCCTTATCCTTTTTAATTTTCTGTTTAATTTATTCCTTTTATTATAGTTTCTTTAAGTGTGCTTATGTTTTCTATTCAGCTACTTATCTTTTTCTTTAAGTCTCTGCTTACTTTGCTACCTCAAAAGGTACCATCTCAAGTTCTGAATCACTACCAGACATTAATTATTAATTATAAAATACAAAATATATAAATTCATGATAAACAATCATTATGTATTGAGTAACATTTAATAGTGCTCAATTTATTCAGCCCAAAATCTTTTATTTTCTGAAATCTATTCCATAAACTCAGCTAATTAAGGAAGAATTTATTGAAGTGTATTATAGTAAGGTAATACCTAAAATATATATTATAAGTAGATTACCATAAAATCTATAAATCCGATCTAACTCTTAGCCACATTAGTTGTTCTTCTATCACATAACATAGTAATAGGAAGTCCCAAATCTTTTTCCTTATCACCTTATTGCCAAAATTCACCTAATACTCTGAAAGTCCATTTCTCATAATTTTTCATTGGTTTAAATGGATTACTGATATCTGCTGCATGTAGCAAAGTATCAAAACAAATACCTTTATCTTTACTACCTGGATCAAAATCATTAGATGCTAATCTTGCTTTTAATCTATTATAATCTAATAATCTTTTTAAAGAAATACCTTTGCCATGCATTGCATTATCTGTACTCAAAATCATACTTATAGATTTTTCTCTAAAATATTTAAAATCTTATAATGAGAAATTTATAAGAAGTTCAGTATCTCTAATATATTTAAATAGGGTTGCAGCATGATGTTATTCAAGTGAAGATTTATCATTGTAAGTCATTGCCAATTCATGTCTAGTATTGTTTAAAAATATATTATTCAATCCTGGATGATCAACATCATGAGCAGCAGCTGAAAATAATAAAATTGAATAATCCAGTTTTGTCAATTTTCCAATTTCTTTAAAATTACATTTTTCAATAAAAAAATATACTGTGTGAGTAACATCAAAAGCATGAATTACATTATGATATAAATTTTCTCTATGATAACTAGATCCTAATTGATCAACACATTTTTTAAAAGAATCAGGAGAGATTTTTAAATTACTAAATAATTATTCTTTTTCAAAGTAATAGCACATCAAATAAGTTAAGATTGAACTATCATACTTTTCAAATAAAGAGAAATAATCATAATCTAATTTTAGTATATTCTATGAGAAATCTTGTCTTAAAGATTCAGGTAAGTTTGTTTCATTTGAAAAGATAATATCTGTAGAAATTGAACGTTTAGAATCTTAAGATATAATTTATTAATTTTAAGGTTGATTTAACCAACCTAATGCTTCACTTTTACGACCTTCTATTATTGGTTCATAAACAGTATTATTTGAAATATGAGTAATTCCCCAATTTAATTATTTTATAATTTCTGGATCTTCAAATTGATCAGAAAGATCACGCATAATTTCTATCACTTTTTCAACTGGTGATCTTACTGTATATCTTGAACCTGAATTATTGATTTTTTTCACTTGATTATACTATTTATATATATTTAAGATATTTACTTTTCGAAATACCAAAAACAATCTTAAAAATCTAAAGATACCTCTTAACACTTTACTTATAGTTATAAATGCATCTCCTTATAAATTCAAATCCAATATTATTAAGACTATAGATGCAATGATTATTAATGCATCAAAAAATGACCAACAATCTGAAAAATAAACCTAAGCTCACATGAAATTAAATACAATAAAACCATTTGTATAGCTTCTTATAGATATTTCAAAAACAAAAAGAATAAGTATTACTAGTTCTATGATCTTAGTCACAAATAGTGTCTTATCTATATTGGGATCCTCTTTAGCATCATTAGCTATTTTTTCTACAATTTGTTACATGTAAATGAAAAGTTTATGAAGACTAAGAGAGTGAATATTACAACTAATGCAATCACTGCCTTATCTATTAATGGGATTCCTTGATGGTATTATTAAGTTATTCTTATTATAAGATGCTCTATTACTCATCTGCAATAACGCGATCGTAACCTTCAATATTATATGAAGATCTACGATCTCCAATAGCATTTGAAATGTCTTTTGATCCTCTAGGAACTACTTTAGTAGTTGCTAATGGCAGGTTCCTATCATCTTTTAAGCTTTATTGTTCTGACATATAAATTATTTTATAAATTATATTGTGTAAACTGCAATCATATTTTAAATGCCTGAAATAAATCAACAAATCAAAGCAAACTAAATAGAATTGAATATCAATATGCAATTAAGAAAGGTTTAATTCAACCATTTTTATATTTGAAATAAAATAATTATAACAATTAATATATATGAATATATATATATAAATTCAAAAGTTTTATTGTTATAATTTGGAATAGTTTTCTTGTACTTCATAATAACCTCTTAAATTATATAATATTAAATAAAATACCTAATAAGACTAGTTTCAGGGTGAAGACAAGTTGTATTGTCTATTTATTATTGTTCACATCTAACAATTATAGTCAAATAATTTCCTGGAGTAAACTGATCTATCTAATGAGATACACATTTATCTAAATTTATTAAATCATAATAATTACAATTCTAATCTCCCAATAATATTTAATCCAACATACTTATGTCTTTTTCATGTTTTATTTAATACTTCCCTATGTCAATTTATAATTCAGATAATTTTAAGCCTCCTTAAAATATTTAGAGATACTCCTTTTCATTAAATTTCATTTCTAAGAGATCATTTATTAATTTGGTATAAAATTTTTTGATATTTGAATATATGCATAATTTCCAACTATTTTATTTTAATTAAATTATCTATTAATTCTTGTATTTCTACTTTTTTCTATTAACATAAACTTCCACCATCTCATAACCTATCCTTCTAAGCTATTCTAAAACATCCATATATAACTATTGATTATTACTCTATATCTCCACAAAATAAAAAGTATTTGATATGTATTTTCCAAATTTAATCAATCTATTGCATTCTAGCTCCTGATAATTTTCTCCTAAATAATTTAATTGTTATTATGACAATACAATTATAATCTTATTTCCAATCCCCAATTCTTATATAGTTATAGGTTCATCTAATTCTTGAGAATTGCAATTGATTAAATTATTAATCTTTTATTAGATATTTGTTTCAAAATATAAATAATTATATATTTCCATTGCTAAGTACCTACCCTGTTCATCAACCTGCAATTATTCATATTACTTTTTCATTATTAATCCAATCTATTAGAATTGTGTTTGCTTTGATTTTAAATCATACATATCCTATAATTTATCTATAAAATCCTAAGAATTTTCATTTAATCGTACAACTATATAAGTTGTACCTGCAAAAAATTAATCGCAAATAGAGGATACTAATTTATAATTCAATCTAGTATTTATTGTTATTTAATCATCACAGACAATCAATTCTAATTCATTAATTTAAATTTCTTAGTTTTTTAAATAACTTCTTAAACTTTATACCCAATCTTTTAAATTCAATATCATTGTATCTTTTACTTTATATATAATTGAATATTAATCAAATCCTAATTATAATACTTACCGAACAAATTATTGAGATATATGATGAATTGAAATTAATTAAGACATCTTCTCTTCTTCAAAAATATTAAGTTTTTTTTAATTTAGTTTTGATTATAATTAGATATCATTACAAAATTCTTGTAATTCATTAATATCGCTACTATCATTATAATCTTGACTATTATTATCCTTTTATAAAGATTNTATAAATTCAAAAGTTTTATTGTTATAATTTGGAATAGTTTTCTTGTACTTCATAATAACCTCTTAAATTATATAATATTAAATAAAATACCTAATAAGACTAGTTTCAGGGTGAAGACAAGTTGTATTGTCTATTTATTATTGTTCACATCTAACAATTATAGTCAAATAATTTCCTGGAGTAAACTGATCTATCTAATGAGATACACATTTATCTAAATTTATTAAATCATAATAATTACAATTCTAATCTCCCAATAATATTTAATCCAACATACTTATGTCTTTTTCATGTTTTATTTAATACTTCCCTATGTCAATTTATAATTCAGATAATTTTAAGCCTCCTTAAAATATTTAGAGATACTCCTTTTCATTAAATTTCATTTCTAAGAGATCATTTATTAATTTGGTATAAAATTTTTTGATATTTGAATATATGCATAATTTCCAACTATTTTATTTTAATTAAATTATCTATTAATTCTTGTATTTCTACTTTTTTCTATTAACATAAACTTCCACCATCTCATAACCTATCCTTCTAAGCTATTCTAAAACATCCATATATAACTATTGATTATTACTCTATATCTCCACAAAATAAAAAGTATTTGATATGTATTTTCCAAATTTAATCAATCTATTGCATTCTAGCTCCTGATAATTTTCTCCTAAATAATTTAATTGTTATTATGACAATACAATTATAATCTTATTTCCAATCCCCAATTCTTATATAGTTATAGGTTCATCTAATTCTTGAGAATTGCAATTGATTAAATTATTAATCTTTTATTAGATATTTGTTTCAAAATATAAATAATTATATATTTCCATTGCTAAGTACCTACCCTGTTCATCAACCTGCAATTATTCATATTACTTTTTCATTATTAATCCAATCTATTAGAATTGTGTTTGCTTTGATTTTAAATCATACATATCCTATAATTTATCTATAAAATCCTAAGAATTTTCATTTAATCGTACAACTATATAAGTTGTACCTGCAAAAAATTAATCGCAAATAGAGGATACTAATTTATAATTCAATCTAGTATTTATTGTTATTTAATCATCACAGACAATCAATTCTAATTCATTAATTTAAATTTCTTAGTTTTTTAAATAACTTCTTAAACTTTATACCCAATCTTTTAAATTCAATATCATTGTATCTTTTACTTTATATATAATTGAATATTAATCAAATCCTAATTATAATACTTACCGAACAAATTATTGAGATATATGATGAATTGAAATTAATTAAGACATCTTCTCTTCTTCAAAAATATTAAGTTTTTTTTAATTTAGTTTTGATTATAATTAGATATCATTACAAAATTCTTGTAATTCATTAATATCGCTACTATCATTATAATCTTGACTATTATTATCCTTTTATAAAGATTCTATAGAATTAAAAGTTCCCCCATTTGAATACTCAGATTAATTATATTAATAATCATTTATTCCTCCTTTTTAATTCTATTTAATATTTTCTTTGTATATCTTAGACTTTTGTTCGCTTGAAAAACTATTTTAATTTTTTGCTTATTGATATTTAGATGTGATATCTGGGAGAATCGATTATCCTCTACATTCCAAAGGAAATAATTAAGGGATAATTTATTCTTAATCTTTTATTAATTAAGGTATAATAGTAGATTTATATTAACTAGAATATAATAATGAAGAATTGCAAGTTTGGAATGATTATGATAATTATGACATTTCTAATTATTTCTTTTTCATTATTTAATTAAATTTAAACCTTAATTCAATAATATCTTGAATTATTTTTAATGCTTAAGTATTTTCTCGTTATTTAGAATAAAATAAGCATTACTTATATCCAAGGCTTTATACATAATTTTAAATTTAAGTGTCAAATTTTCTATCAATCTCTTTAACTAAGGATAGAATAGAATCAAGTTTATATAATTTTACAGGCAAATTACTTTTTTTCTTCAATATTCCTTCCAAATCATAAATGAACTTGTCAAAATTTTCACACAAATCAAATAATTCCATATTAAATATTTCTAATGATTGCTAATTCAAAAATTCATTTATATTTAATTAAGCTTATTGACAATAGAGTAGATTAGATGAATAGATTTTGAATTGAATTTTCCATCCATCATCAACCAATTTAATTAAAATTTTATTTTGTAATTGGAATTATTCAACATCATTCTCTGAATAGAAAATGATAAAATCAATATAATTCATAGCAATTTATTAAAATGGATCTGCATCATTAAAGTATTCTCTATTTATTGTTGGTCTTAATTCATGTTTTGGAGTAAAATTATTAGATTGATTGTATTCAGCAATCCAAGTTTAAAATAATTATGTAATTTTTTATTCCTTTCTCTTAGGTATCCAAGCTATAACAAAAGATTCATACTTTTCAAATTCAAAATCCTTAAGATATCCAGTTTATTCTTATAATTGTTTCTATTCTTTTATTAATTTTTCTTTAACAAATAAACAAGTTCCTCTATATTTAGAATAAAGCTCTTTATAATTTTTTGAATAGAATATGGAAGTATATGGTTTATAAGAAGTGAGAGTTCGTTAATCCTTCATAACATAAATCATTTTAAACTCTTAGAAGGCTATGTATTCAATTTTGAATTGGGCTACTCTCAATTAATCTTCATCATATCCTATATCATTTAGTATTAAAAATACCTGCCAAATATATTGCATTAGGTTCAAATATTAGATGTGTATTAGTATTTTACAGTATTCCTGTAAGAATATTGACAAAGTTCATCCAGATGAATGTTTCTGTAGACAAATTAAGCTATTTTTTATGTAAAATCATTCTATTTGAATAGAGACCACTTTGATTATTTTTATGAAACATTAATGTAGTAAGTGTTTTTGAGGTTGATTTTGCAGAAAAATATGAAGAAACAAAAATTTTGGATGGTTTTATTTAGATGTTAAAATATAATAATTATTATAATATTCAATCAAATTGAGGACGATCATCTATTTTGCCATCTATAACTAAAGTAATTGAATAAGTTACTCATATCTTCACATTTCATTTCCATTTACATATCTGAGACAACTGGCATTTGGAATGGAAAATTAACACGAAATTGTGGTGGTATTTGCAATGCACCATATTGAATCATCTAATTCAAAGGATGATATGGAAAGTAAAATGGTTAAGTAAAATATGTTTATGGAGGAGGGGGAGGAGGAGGATCAGGATATTATTGTCTAACAGGGATCAATACGTCTCTCATTTGTTGGGTTTGTATTCGCTTTGCAGTTTAAGGTTCACGTGGTTTTCTTCCTCTCTTTTTTGGTTCTCCTTATTCTACTTAGACTTTTGGCTTTGGACCTCTTTTTTTAGGCATCACTGCTTTAGATGGGTAAGTGCTGGAATCATTTTAAATTTTATTTTCATCTCTTGATTTATAATCTTCCTCTATTATTTTTAGTATCACATGAACAAAATCATGTCTATTAAAGCAATTTATATGATCAGAAGATTTTATGTGCTATGTTTTAGAAATATCTTAATTACTTCTAAATAATCTTAATAAGGTTTACGACACACTCCACAATATCTGTGTTTACGACCAGGTTTTGGTATTTACTAAACTTAACTTAATCCATTACCAATTTAGTCTTCTTCATTGTATATTCTTAAATCTTTCTTTGATGATCTTCTTTGTATTTTTGCATACTCCTCAAGTAGTCATTCTAATATAAATATTAGACAGCCAATTCTTACTCTGTCCACTTCTAAAATGAAACCGGGCAAGCATTATTGTTCATCTTAATTAAAGACTGGAACGATATTTTCAAAACAGGCCAGCTATGTATTATATTATATATCTGTTACAGCATCGTTGTACAAAGGACAGAAATCTATGTTTGTTGGTGACTTAAACCAACACTTTTAACTTTTTGGATGGAGATTAAACTAATGCTCTTGACATCTTGGTTAACATTTTCGTTTGCCCTATCCTGAAATTTTCTCTCCAGCCATTTAAATTAATTATAATATANATAACATAAATCATTTTAAACTCTTAGAAGGCTATGTATTCAATTTTGAATTGGGCTACTCTCAATTAATCTTCATCATATCCTATATCATTTAGTATTAAAAATACCTGCCAAATATATTGCATTAGGTTCAAATATTAGATGTGTATTAGTATTTTACAGTATTCCTGTAAGAATATTGACAAAGTTCATCCAGATGAATGTTTCTGTAGACAAATTAAGCTATTTTTTATGTAAAATCATTCTATTTGAATAGAGACCACTTTGATTATTTTTATGAAACATTAATGTAGTAAGTGTTTTTGAGGTTGATTTTGCAGAAAAATATGAAGAAACAAAAATTTTGGATGGTTTTATTTAGATGTTAAAATATAATAATTATTATAATATTCAATCAAATTGAGGACGATCATCTATTTTGCCATCTA